ATACTGGTACTACTAGTACTTAGTATACTAGTATTACTATACGTATTAGTATACTAGTACTACTAGTACTTAGTATACTAGTATTACTATACGTAGTATACTAGTATACTAAGTAGCACTAGTATACGAGTTTCGCGTTTCGCGTTTCTATTCAAGCATTCCGCGTTGAGTTTCATGTTAAGCGTTTCATGTTAAGGGTTTCGCGTTAAGCGTAATCATACTTTTTTTATTATATTATTAATTATATTATTATATCATCATTATATTATATATCCTAATATTATATATATTAATCCTTCATCACTCATCATTCATCATCATTATCATTGTGAACAAGCATCGTAAAAGATCCTCGTAAACGACCTTCCTATATCATCATTAAATAGCTTCCAATCAATATATTTCTTTCTTAATCCTTTCTACTCATACTAGACAAGCATAATCTCAATAGATCATTTTTCTAACATTATTTTCTATTCAGATGATTTTCAATTGGATATTGTGAAGTGTGATTCAAGTGTCTCTTGATCGAAAATTAACGTCGAACAGTGTCGTGAAAATCTGCAGAAAGAAAATATTCGGGAAATTTCAAAGAGTTCGTCGGAACGCGTTCGTGCATTTCGTGCATGCAGAGAGGTTTTTAGTTACCATACATATTTTAGTTACTATAAGCAACTCGTCTCATTTCTTCAAATTGAGAACTTGTTTACTGTGTAATATATTATGTATTATATGTCAATAAAACGTAAAATAATTTTTGAATGTGGTAACAATATTATAATAATAATATTAAAACAAATAAATCCTACAATTATCCTACACCTGATATTCTGCATTCATCTCATTCTCTCGAAGCGAAGATTTTAAGAAGGTTTCACTTCCAACACGTTTGATCTGCACACATGTTATTTTTTTTTTTTTTTTCTAATAAAGAAAGTCTACAATTATCTTACACCTGATACTCTACATTCGACTCATTCTCTCGAAGCGAAGATTTTAAGAAGGTTTCACTTCTAACACGTGTGATCTGCACACATGATATTTTTCTTTTTTTTTCTTTTTATCGATAAAGATCTCTGTTTATACTTATCCGTCTCGTTCGAGAAGGAAACATATGAAAATAATATAAATACACGTCTAAAAAGAAGCCCTGAAAATATATGGCTTTACTTATATAACCGTAGAGCATAAGAAATATCAATAGAAAAACATGCTGTCGTATAATAGTGCATAGGAAACGAAGAAAGAACAGAAAAGAAAAGAAAAGAAGAAAAAAAATAAATAATACGGTCTTGGCGAGTGACACAAACGGAAAGAGAGAGAGAGAGAGAGAGAGAGAGAGAGAGAGAGGAAAAAAAAGAGATATGAAAGAAAATGGAAATAGAAAAAGAAAATATAGGGAAACAGAAGTGAACAAGGGGGTGGAGGGCGGCTTATGAAAGAAATCTAAGAGGAATATCTTTAAAAAGAGATAACATACGGAATAGTATAGTTAGCATATATATGACGTGTATCTAAGAAAATGAGATGATTTTGAATAATAGAAATAAAAAAACATAGAATAAAAATAATAATTAGATGTGAAGTAATAATTAAATGATTAGATATTTAATTTATTAATTTATTCTTTTTATTATAGAAATTAAATCAAAATTGAAAAATATTGATAAACCATACGTGTTATTATGGTTAAATCATCGTACAATATTTTCTATAATATTTCACAATAAAAAAAAAATAGAATGAAACCATTCGAATAATAAAAATTAATTACCATGAATAAATTAATTTATTCTTTTTATCCTAACAATTAAATCAATTAAAAAATATTGATAAACCGTATGTGTTATTATGGTTAAATCATGGTATAACATTTTCTATAATATTTAACAATGGAAAAAAAAAAAAAAATTGTACTCGTTACACAATGAAATTTTTCGAGTGAGAGGGAGGAAAAAAAGAAGACAAGATAGTAAATAAAAAATTGCAAGCTTGAAATATGTGCAGACAGTTTTTGAAATTTGGATTTTTTACATCCCAGTGAACAAGTTCGTTCGTTCTCAGTAGAATCATTCGTAGGTCCCTTACCCTCTTTTTACCACGAAAGTGTAATACTTTTGTCCGGAAGAACTTGAAAAAGAAGTTTCATCTTTATCTTTCTCCTCGTCTCGTCTCGTCTCGTTTCATTTTTTTTTTTTTTTTTCGTGAAAATAGGTCAGCTAGGTTTTACCGATATCCCTACGCGACATTACTATTATAGTTATAGAAAGAAGTAGAAAAAAAAAAGAACAAATATAAAGAAGCCTATTTGAAGTAACATTTGCCAAACTAGTCGCGTACAAATTTTTAAAGTAAGTATTAAACATAATCAATATTTATTATATAAAATATAAAATATAATATATAATATAATAATATAATATATAAAATATATATATATATAAAATATAATCAATGTTTATTAATGTATAATTTAATTATATAATTAAAAATAAATATAATATTATAAATTTATAATTAAATTATAATATTAAAATAATAATAATATTATTAATATTATTAATAAATTAAGTATAAAATCTATTATAATAAAATTTATTAATAATACTAATCAATTAATAATATTTATTGCAAATCCTAACTTTGTTCACAAATTAATTTCTACGTTTAATTATATAATATTTAAACAAATGTAAAAAAAAAAAATTCGTCATGTTCATTCTGTCTTTCGTATCGTTTAATATATTTGTTCGAAAAAAGAAGAGAAAAAAAGAATGAATTTAATGGGAAACAGGAAAGAGGAAGTAAAGAATAAAAAAACGATTATACTATTACTACTCACCAATGACGTTCAGCAGAGCGAGAACTTCGCATAGGTAGTACCTGTATGCCCACCAATTGTGATAACGTAGATTCTCCCATAGGTAGTCTAACAACATTTTCTTCTTTTGTTTCTTCTCAACCTCCGAGCACAAACCTATGTCGAGATCCATCATGAGAGCGTGAATTTTACCGCCCTCCCAACCCTTCCACAACCATCTTGGTGTGTAAAATAGAATTGCCTGAGAATCAAATAATTATAATTATAATCAATTTTTATTAGGGTAACTTATGTTTCTTATACTATATTAATTACAAAATAATATATATATATATATATATATATATTATTAGATAAGGGTAACTCATGTGTTTCATATACTATATATTAATTAAATATATATATATGTTATTAGATAAGGGTAACTTATATTTAATATACTAAATTTAAATTGTAAATTTAAATATGTAAAATATAATTACCAAGAAATCAAATTATTTTTATATTAAATTTTTCTAAGGAAAACTTATGTGTGTATTTCCTATATTATTATTTTATCCTACATTATTCCTATATATATATAGTAATTAAAAATATATATATATATATTACCAATACCAAATGTGTTTCCTATACTATATTAATTAAAAATGTATGTGCGTATATATTATTATACAAAGGTAACCAATGTGTTTCCTATACTAATTAATTAAAAATACATAACTTATTATTATATAAGGGTAACTTATATGTTTCCTATACTATATTAATTAAAATATATATATATATATATTTTTAAATAAGGGTAACTTATATTTAATATAATAAACTTAAATTGTAAATGTAATTATGTACAATTAAATTTCCTAAGAATTTTATATATTTATATTTATATATATATATATATAACAAATTCAAAATTATATACATAACAAAATATATATATATATAGGATAAAAAATTTTTAAAAGGAAAAAAATAATAAAAATAATTCCTACCTATTATTTAACTTCCATCATAACAAAAATTATTCTAAATAATTTAAAATAAATCTTAACACAATTTCAATCATTTATTTATCCCCATCCAAATATTAACCCATCCAACCCATCCAAATATTACCCTAAAAAGTTTGACCAACGAAAATATATTTATTTGGTATCGTTGAAAAGTTGCAATACCAATTTTGTTTCTTCTTCTTCTTCTTTTTCTGCAATTCATTGAATTTCGTTGTTCGAATAAAGAATGATTGGAACTCTTGTAAAGAAAAAGAAAAAAAAAATGCAGTCCGATACATCTATCGGATCAAAAACGTTGGATGTAAATTCTGATGATGGGTTGACCCATTGGTAAGTAGAGTATCAAAGTTTTTTGGCATATTGCCAGGCCTAGCATTTCCCACCACCTTTTAATACTCGATCTTAAGTATTAAAACTTACAAGACCAGTACCAAATACCAGCACCAAGCACCACCAAATATTGCCCCACATTAATTAATCTTTATAATTGATCTTCAAACTATTTTTATCTACAAAAAGAAAAAGAAAGAGAGAGAGAGGGGAGATGATGGGGGAGTAGTGGAAAGGGAAGATATGTACGATCATGATTTATAAGAGTAGAAAGATAACGAGCTTTACGTTCGAGGCGATGAATTCTTCCTACCAGTTGCCATACAACTCGCGTTACAATTTTTTTTTTTTTTTAATATTTTTTATAAGAATATTAATGTGTTCACTTAAATGAAAAAAAGAAAGAAAAATATTAAACAAATAAATACTAAGAAATCAACGTAACTTTAATACAACCCAAACGATTGGATATTTTATTACGAACGTTTGTAATAAAAAAAAAAAAATAAATAAAAAGAATGCGATTGCGTGATTGAAAAATCCCATATATTTGTTTTGTATTTTCTATTTTCTTTTATGTTATAGGAAAATTGCTACCAGCATGTGTTAGCCAACGCAAATAATTCAAATTCGTGGGACGTGATATTCCATGAAGAAAGAAAAAATACAACAACAAAGGAAAAAAATGGGTTACCTTTATTTTCCTATCCTTTCGAGTAGTTATAAAGGGTAAAAAAAAGAAGACAATAAATTGAAGGGATGAAGAAAATGTTTTCTCGTGGTATTATATTACATTTGAAAGGGTTTACTATAATAAAATCTAAAAGGTTTAATCGTTTTACGATACGAGACGTTAATTCATACTATGATTACCACCCACTTTCTTACTCCTACTTCTTCCAACCCACATTCCGAATCGAATAAATAATTCCAGTATGCGATTATGTAAAAAAGAGAGAGGATTTGAGGGTGCAGGAGAGGAAGAAGAAGAAGAAGAAGAAAAAGCAGAAGAAGAAGAGGAATATCATCACACAACCCACCACAATCACCACCACCATCACCACCACCACCGGTGCAACACTTCTCTTCTTCTAAACCATAAGAGAAAATTACTTGTTATAAATATAGACGTATTGTTTGCTTACGTAGATTGCGAGAATGGGTACGCTTCCTTCGCTTTTAGCATAATTGCATTCTGCTCTTTGTTATAAGTATGTAGGAGATCGGTTTGTTGCTATCTCTCTCTTTCTCTCTTTCTGGCTATTGATGGATGCTCGAAATAAAACACGCGGCCATGCGATAAAAGAATGAAACATTTCTAGACTCGAACAGATTGAATAAGAAGAAGAAGAAGAAGAAGAAGGGTGAAAGGAACAAAAAAAAGGGTTGAACAAGAAAGAAGAAAAAGGAGAAGAAGAAGAAGAAGAAGAAAGAACAAGAAGAAAATGGTTAGCCTCCCAAACAAGATGATAGTTTATGCGAGAAAGAATAATTCGGCTAAAGACAATAGAAAATGTTCGTTTGGGTTTTTAAAATACAATGAACAACATTTATAGAAAATAAAAATAAACAAACGTACTATTCGATTTCACGAAATTCCATGAAATTCCACGAAATTTCACGAATTCAATTTTATGCATATTTTTTATGGTATACTTATCGTTAAAAAAACATTCCCGTTTTGTTTTTACGATAAAAAGATAACAAATGATAAAAATAAAACAAAAATAAAAATAAATTTAATTTAATAAAAATATATATACATATATTCATATTTATTATTAAATAAAATAAAATTAAAATAATATTATATAAAATATTATATAATAATATATAATTTATATAATTAAAATATAATATAAATTATTAATAAAATATATATATACATATATTATTATAATATATTATATATATTATTAATAATTTATTGTATTAATAAAAAAAAAAAATATAAATAAAATCTTAAAATAAAATATAAATCTTTTCTTCTTATTTTCTTTATTTTTTTACAAGCGTAAATTTTGTAAAATACTTTTCTGTCTCTCATTTACCAAGAATAATACCACTATCCCCATTACCATTACCACAACTTCATTTTATTGGAATAATTTTTTTGTTTTCTTATAATATCTTACAAAGAAATTCTACGTAAAAGAGGAATAAAAACAAATCCTAATGTGATCAATTAGGATCACAAAGAAGAAAGCATTGAATTTTGACCTCGGCCTTGATACTGATTACAGGACGTCAGGAATTAACGACTATCATCAAGATTACAGATACGTGAAACACCGAAAAATATACGACTCATGGGATTCGACATCATCGTTGCCACAAGCCAACGTCCGCGAGAGTACAGAAGAGAAAAAGGGGAAAATCCCTGGTTCAAAATAGATCTCTCTCTTTACAGTTTATCTCTCTCTCTCTCACTCTCCCTCTCTTTCATTTTCTCTCTCTTTCTTTCTTATACAGACTACTACTTCAGTATCCAACATCATAGTCTTTCCACTTCCCTCTTCACTCTCACTTTCTCTCTCTCTCTCTCTCTCGCTCTCTCTCTCTCTCTCTGTTTTTAACACAACCATACACACGTTCTCCTTCAATCGGCTATAAGAAAACGTACAACACACGTAACATGTGTTCAAAGTGTATGAGAAAGAGAGATAAAGAGAATATACGAATAAGAATAAGAAAAAGATGACGAACCGTAGCCAAAGCATTCTGTATCTGTATGTGTGTCACGTGTGCCTTGAGTAAAATTAGCTAAACAAGGGGATAAAGACTACGGATCTTTGTTAAAGAAGAAGAAGAAGAAGAAGAAGAAGTAAAAGGGACAAGATAAGATGTTTAAAAAAAAAAAAAAAAAAATTTGTTATAAAGTAAGTTTTTACTTTAGTTCTAGAATTTATCATTCACTTTTAAACACCCAAGTGTTTTACATTAAAACTTCAAATATATATATATATATATTGTTCTAAGAAAGTGGGAATCATTTTATGGTTGGACTACTTTAGGATTCTTCTTTGATTTTTGTCTATTTTTGTTGAAATATATTATTCCAAAGAAGTTAGGAGAATTATACTGATTTTATGATTGACTATAACTGATTCGTTTGATTTCTGTATTTATTTAAATGAATCGTATATTTTTTTTCACCCCTTCAGCTATAAAAATTGTTTTGATTTATAATCGTTAAAGTAATAATATTGTTTTTATTTGAAATGTTAACTAACAGAGTTTGCATCATTAGTTGGGAATCATTTTATAGTTGGATTATTTTAAATTCTTCTTTGATTTTTGTCTATTTTTGTTGAAATATATTATACCAAAGAAGAGAGGAGAATTATACTGATTTTATGATTGATTATAACACATTTCTATATTTATTTCAATGAATCGTATTTTTTTTTTCTTTTTATTTGAAGTATCATCCCTTAAGCTATAAAAATTATTTTGATTTAATCGTTCAAGTAATAATATTGTTTTTATTAGAAATGTTAACTAACAAAGTTTGCATCATTAATTGGGAATTATTTTATAGTTGAACTACTTTAGGATTCTTCTTTGATTTTTGTCTATTTTTGTTAAAATATATTATTCCAAAGAAAATAGGAGAATTATACTGATTTTATGATTGACTATAACACATTTCTATATTTATTTAAATGAATCGTATCTTTTTTCATCCCTTCAGTTATAAAAATTGTTGTGATTTAATCGTTAAAGTAATCATTGTTTTTATTAGAAATGTTAACTAACAAAGTTTGCATTATCATCATCATCATCATCATCATTATCATTATCATCATCAATGGTTAGATCTCTTTAAAACTAAAACTTCGATTACCCAAGCGATACCCACTACCACCATCACCACCCTTATATCGATTTAAGTTTATACTCGCATCATCGTCCTCACTTGGATGAGAAGAAAAGAGAATGAGAGAATGAGAGAGAGATAGAGAGAGAGAGAGAGAGAGATAGAAGAGTACGTGCACTCTTATGCTGGTTATTTATTTATAGATTATATGATAAAAGTTCCATGTTAACGCTTGCGAAAACAACGTCATATCGATTTCGATCAAACCAACGAACGAAAGATGATACGACCTACTTTATTTATCTTTTATCTAACTATGAGAGGATAAAAGAACAAAATGAAACGAATTGTTATTGAAATGAAATTTCAATAACATAGTTGAACAAAAAAGAATGATGAAAGAAAGGTTAAACATGTGTCTTTCTTACTTGAAGTAGAAGAAAGAAGATAACCCATTGATAATACTTGTGCTGTTTGACCAATGGATGAGGAGTATGTCCATGTATCCCTTCACCTTTACTGTTAGCAACCCCCGGATAAGGTACAGCTTGTCCAATGCTCAAGTTGAAGGCATGTACCATACTGTAAGTCGTGTGAAGCCAACAGAAGGTCTCGAGCACGACCTTGTCAACGGAACCGGAAGCCTCGCAGTGTATTGGCGATCCGGAAATGCTTTTACATGCTAATGTAACACAACCACCTAACAATAATGCAACGGTTGTACGATAATGCAATCGAAATACCAAATTATCTTCGGAAATCCTTTGTATCTTGAACAATGATCTCAACGATCCAAATACGTCGACCATTTTCATCATCAATGGCATCTTCGATTCAGGTTTTTTTTTTTTTTTTGTTAGATGTATGATACGATTCGCGAATATTTTTTTGTTTGTTTTTTTTTAATAATTTTTAAACCTGAATATAATAATTTCAATTTCACCCACGGTTTTTTTGGTTTCTTCAATTTACAATGGAGAAGTTGCTGCTGCTTGTTCTTGTATTCTTTGGTATTTTCTGAGAAAAATGGGTATTTTATTTTTTATTTAAAATTGATTCTTAATTTAATTGTAATTATTAATGTTGTTAAATATAATCTCTCTCTCTCTCTGGGTTTTTTATTTATTTTTTTTTTATTTATAATTCACTATTCATTATGGCGTATTCATCTAAAACTGACCATCCGTGTCTCCTCCCTCTTCTTCTCGTTCTACGTGTTTTTTTCCAAGATCTTTTATGCATTTTTTTGTTGTCTTGTTTTTTTCTTCTTATTATCAATGCAATTATCTGAATCCTTGATTTCACCAAGTTTATCTTACTTTTCAATTTATTTCACAATGTTTTCCTATCTCGGAGAAAACAACAAATGTTCACGTCATCGAATTATATTATATTACCTATTAAGAATTTGTGCAATTAATAACAGAAAATAGATTTAAAATGATATAAGATGAAATAACGTAGAAAGTAATGAAAAATACGAGTTGGACAAATGCACGAAAACTAAGACAAGTAAGAAGGAGGAGACGCGGACACGTGGAACAGACTAGCGAACCTTCACAAGACGACTGGCCCGAACTTGAGGGGTATCCCTTGGCCTCGTTGTTTAACACATAACTTATATTATTATCTTTCAAGTATCAAATCCTGTCACGTTACAAATCCAACGAGTAAATGTAATTTGTCAATCGTCTATTCCACTTATAATTATTATTAATAAAAAAAACATAAAAACATTCGTTCTTATTAACCAATACAATTTAAATTGTTCAGATGTTTTAAAAGAAGATCATCATCTTCATTTATCATACTTATTTTCGTTAAAATGTATATTGAAACTAACATGGGTGTAATAATAATCTCCTACCCTTTATTATATATATAATATATATTAACATATATAATAATTATTACTTATTTAGTAGGTATTAATACTAAATAAAATAAATAGTATTATTAGTAGTACTATTTAGTAATATATTATATAATATAATATATATAATAATAATAATATTATATATAATAATATATATATATATATATTAATATTAATATATATAATTATAATATAATATAATTAATATAATAATATAATATAAATATAATATATAATTATTGATATATATAATTATTACCCTTTATTATTATATAATTACCAACCCCCATAACTGTACTACATCCCCTCTATCCTATTTAAAATTTGATTTAACTGATTTCATAGTTAAATTCTAATCTCTATTCGATATGCTATTTTACTTTAGGTTTTATTAAAATATTCTTAATGACACGTGAAAATGTTAAATTAGTTAGATTGAACATTTTAGTGAGAAACGTGCTTGCATGGTTGCACGCTTAATTTTCTTTAAGAGAGAGAGAGAGAGAGAGAGAGAAAGGAGAGAATTGGCCTTCAGCCAGGCATACCTGTTGTATCGTGAAAAGAATAAAATGAACGAACCTGGGAATTGAAAGAAAAAAAAAAAAAAAGAATAAAAAAGAAGAAGAAGAAAAAGAGAAAAGAGAGATTATTGCAAGAAATAAGAAGAAAAAAAAAAAGTAGGACGAGTTCTTTCGTGACAAAATATTTGGGTCATTGTCGAGTTTTTCATGCGACATGTATTATCATCATTAAAAATAAATTTACATTAACGATTCAAAATAATTATAAATAATTACTTCATATTATTGAGATATTAATTGATATTTTCATACTAGTTGGTCCTAACAATTTGTTTCCTTCTTTTTTTGATAATAAGTTGATTACAATATTGTAATATTTTTTTGATGTTATTTTTACTAAAAAAAAAAAATTATGGATTCTATTTTATTTTAACTTTTACTATACTTTCAATTATTTCAAATAAAAAATATTGTGATCATAGAATGAATAATGTCCATAAAAAAAAGAAGAAACTTTTGGAAACATTTTTGAATAACAAAACTTCAAACTTTTTGAAACAACCTAATATTAATGTATATATATAGACAGAAAATCAAAATGAAAGAATTGATGAAATAAAATTTAAATTTTGAATTAAAAGAAGAAGAAAAGAAGAAGAAGAAGAAGAAGAAGAAATGAAAAAATAAAAAAAAAAAGGATAGCAAGAATATCGTTTGATTAAGTACGTCAAGGCAATGGAACTACTTTAACACTGAAGGATTTAAGAAGGGGTTAATATGCTTAGGGTTTCTTTCTTGGCAATGAACTAGATATAAGCCTCAGTAAGCATAGGGTAAGATGTTTTTAAACATAATCACTACTTTCTTAAGAAAAAACGATCCCCTTATATATTATAATATATTTATGAGCCATTCAGTACACACATCGATTAACTCCACTTTTTGAAAAATCTTAAATTTAAGTGTCAAAGTACTTGGTATAGTCATAGCTTTTTTCTATTTATAATAACTTTCCTGAATAATAAACATTAACACCATTAAACGGCAAAATTTTTTTGCCCATTGAATAATAAATAATACATACAACAATATACATTATTTCATGGCATTTCTCAACTTTTTGTTTTATGGAGTTAATCGATGTGTGCACTGAACGGCTCATATATATATACATATGTATAACAAACTAAAAACAAGTGACTCTGAACATATTCGTGACTCATACGAAATTTAGTTGATAAGATTTCAAAATTCCAATTATTTTACTTAATAATAATTATTTTGTTCGTTTAATCATGTTAATGACTGTTTGTAATATGTTTAATTACACGTATTATATAATTTGAAAGTAATGAGGGCAATTTATTATTCCATTTAATACGATAAGTATAATATTTTTAAATATGTTTGTTCAAAATATCAAATTTTGTTGTTTTAGTTAATATTAGAAATAAAAAAAGTAAAAGATTTTTATTAATAATGTGTTAATATTATTATATTATATAATACTTAATAATAATAATATATAATAATATAATAATTAATAAATATTATATATATATATATATTATTTTTAATATAATATTTTAATTATATATTAAATATATTATATTAATTATATTAATTATATATATTAATTATATATTAAATATATTAGATATATAATTAAAATATAATATCATTATATTATATTTATATTATATTATTTAATATAATAAGTTTAAACTTATTATATATGTAATGTGATTATAGTTTAATTGGATATCATTTTGCAATTCAATAATAAAAATATAATATATTATCCAAATATATGTATGTGCATAATTATACAACCACCACTATATATATCATACATTCATACTTTTTTGTACAAACGAACCCATTAAAAAATATTTGCCATCATAGTTTCTAAATAAAAAAAAAAAAACTAATCTTCAAATGTTTCTTTGTTCATTTTGATTGTATTCTAACTAATTAGTGTTCGAACTAACTCATCATCATTTGCTTTTCCTTGCCATTGGCACGTAGCAAAGACACGAGGTTAAATTAGAAAGCGTATCGATCGTTTAAACGAGAAGAGAGGGCTAGTTACTATATAAGTATTATCTCGTTAACCCTCTCTATCATCATATAATAGTTCATAAAAAAAAAACAATATTAGCCAACCCTAGAAGAAATCATAAGAAATAAAAACTAAACAAAAAAAAATGAAGACACTATGGAAGAATAAAAAGAACAAAAAATATATATTAAAAATCATTTATAATAAATTTAATATTTAATTAAAATCATTTATATTAAATTAAATTTTTATAGTTATTCATATTTATTAATTTATATAATTATATTATTCAATTTATTATATTTTGAAATTTTATATAATTAAATATTTAATTAAAATAATTTATATATAAAATTAAATATTAAGTTAAAATAATTTATATTAAATTAAATATTTAATTAAAATTATTTAAATTAAATTTTTATAGTTATTAATATTTATTAATTTATATAATTATATTATTAAATTTATTATATTTAGAATTTTTATATAATTAAATATTTAATAAAAATAATTTATATATTAAATTAAATATTCAATTAAAAACATTAATATTATTTTATATTATACTAAGATATTATATTAAAAAAAAGTAATATTATATTAAAATCATTTATATTACGTAAACAATTTAAACAACAACAAGAACAAAATTTAATTAACCCTGACAAGAACCTAATTCTTTTTTCATCTTTTATTTTTCATAATTAATCAACAAGAATGAAAATGATTTATTTTTTTACCTGTAGGAAGAGCATGAAGCAGACCCACTGATAATACCTGTATTCCTTCCTCTCGGATTCTGGATACAATTTGGAATTATCAACACCTGGAAATGGTACTTCAGAACCTTCTCTTTTCCTATAGGCTGCTGTTATCGTATAAGTACTGTGTATCCAACAATATGTGTTTAACACATCTTCAGGTATGTCTTTACTGTGTATACAATCGATTGGATTACCAACGTATTGTCTTGTTGTTACTATCAAACTAAATGATATCAACAGTATCACTGTTAAACTATAATGTAATCTAAATACCGCGGTATCGATGTGTATGTGTGAGATCTTGATCAGACTCTTCAAACCACGAAATATGTCCAGCATCTTGAAACTTATTAACTTTTACAACCCCCACAAACAAACAAAAATAATTTTATGGATTGGGTTGGGGTTGGGTCTGAATTTCTTTTTTATTCAACTACATTTTTTTTTCCTCACTTTCCTTTTTTTTTTTTTATTTCGTTTTTTTTCTTCTTCTTTTTAGAATTCACAATATCGTTCGATTGCATTGGCAAGTGTTTGCAAGGTTTTGTTTATTTTTTTTTTTTTTTTTTTTTTTTTTTTTTTTTACAATGTCTTTGATTTTTCGATTATAATTCAAGTAGCGTTCGTTTTATTTATATCGAATTATATATTAAAAATTATTAACGATCAC